AGGGATGGGAGCTGAAGTTGGACGAGAAGCCAATGACGACGTTCCAAAACAGGGATAAACACCTGCAATCATAAGTAATAATTCATTTATTTGCGCACTTATTTATGAACACCTTTAAAAAATTTAAAAAATAAACACTAACCTTATCGACCTCCCACCATGCAGGATAAAGTTTAGCTTGTCCATTTCCCAACGAAAATGATTCATCTCGTTGATTCTTCAAGTGAACTGCGTGAAAAGCCGCCGACATTATTGTATATCGCGAATTTTTTTTATTTTTCTTAAGCTTCCTTATTATTAGTAGACGTGACACCCACGTATCGATATGCTGTTTTACAAAAAAATACATATATTAGTGAATTACATTAATTTTTAAAAAAATTAATCAAAATCATATATAAGACAAATATAAGACTTACCTCCCCATCGAAATAGCCACTGTCTTCAACCCCTAATAGCACACCCCACCAAGACCGATCAAGCAACAAAACATTCATCGTTGAGTTTGCTTATGTCAGTGTAACACCCTTGGCTCCGCTCATGTAGATAAAAATCAACTGCGATCTTAGCCCAAAGGGTATTATCCACAATTGTTTCCGGTAGTTGTCTCCTCTCCACTTCAGATACCGGAAGGGTACTAGCCGGTAACTCATACGAGAGCCAACTCTCATCCATCATGTCCGGAACCGATGGGGGTTTCTCAATACTTCGATATATTACCCCATGTAAATCGAACTCTGGAATGGTGGGAGGGACCTCTTCAACGATAACAGTGGCCTCTTGAACGGTGGGGGGACTCTTGAGGGAGGATAGGGGCCTCTTGAACGATTGGAGGGGACTCTTGAGGGATGACAGGTGAGTCGGGCTTCTTCTTGCAGAGTCTTCGCACCATTGGGGTGAACGGAGACGTAATAGCACGTCCTCGCCGTCTAATGCGTGAACTCCGTCGTGCAAGGAAAACCCGACGTAAAGCATCCACTTTATCGGGCCGCTAAAAAAATTAATACATAAATCAGTAAATAAACAGACATGATATTAAACAAAGACAAATATGTTTCAAACTAGCATTGTATTCACCCAAGTCATTATTCTATCATAGTTCACAAAATGCTCAGATAACATTCCAGAAGTAAGCACTTATATAACATTTAAAAAGACAACATATATAACATTCCAGAAGAAGAATAGTTTACTTTCGCAACACGAAACTTAAAATCGCAACGCGAAAATGACTATCGCAACGCGAAAATGGCTATCGCAATGTGAAATGAAAATCGCAACGACAAAATCGCAACGCGAAACACAAATCGCATTGCGATTTTCATTTCGCGTTGCGATTTTGTCGTTGCGATTTTCATTTCGCATTGCGATTTTGTCGTTGCGATTTTCATTTCGCATTGCGATAGCCATTTCCGCGTTGCGATAGTCATTTTCGTGTTGCGAAAGTAAACTATTCTTCTTCTGCAAATTGAAACTTGAATGGATTGCATTACTTCAACCAAAAGACAAAAACAAAACCAAAAACAAATACTAACAAAAACAGTTTAGCAGTATTGGCAGCAACCGAATGAATTACGAGTATGAAAAATCTTAAACTTACCTCGTTGCGTAGAGTATGAACCTCATTCTGTAACGATGCTACTATCTCATGTAGAGCGGCTACCTCACCGCGTAATGTAGACACCTCAACACGCAATGCACCATCGTCTTTGCGTAAAGTACCGACCTCCTCACACAAGGCATTGACCTCATCACGTAACTCCCCTAACTCATCCCGTTGAGGTGGAGGTGGAGAACAGGGAGATAAAAATCGTGGCATCTTTGCCGGTCGGCTATCTTGCGGTGATGGTGGAGAAGAGGCTCGATGATGTGACAGAATAGGTGATGGCTGTCGTTGTGGAGGTGTATAGTCGGGTCGATCAGATGATGGCTCTGGGTGAGGTGATAGCTCTGGGCGAGGTGATGGCTCCCGAAGTGGAGGCTGCTCATCAACCGTTCCATCAAAAAAACGCTTACTAGCTTGCCACCAATCAGTGGCAAGCTCAGCTTCCGTGGGTGTCAGCCTCTGTAGAGGAGTGTTGGCCTCCTAACAATATAAAAGCTCAAACAAAGTTAAATGTGTACTAGTAATAACTTGTTTATAAACATATGGTAGTATTTATGTTAACTTACATTATTTATTGTCGTATACCGTAGTAAATCTTCCCATTGCAAGGTCCGTTCCTCTTCCAGGAAATAGCCCTGGGAATATCATTTGAAGTTTTTATTGCATATGTCTTCATGGCGGGAAAGGCCTCAAATATCCAAATCTACAAACAATATAATAACAAACATTAGTAATTGTTAAATAATTACTTATAATTTTGGAAACATTATATAAAAATTCTTACCTTAAAGGCCCAAATAAAGCCTGTCAAAGTGTATTTGGAACCATCGCCATGCAAACTTTTTCGATCATCCAAGGTAGACGATAATTTATTCCATGTAGCTTTCCATAAATACGAGCCCCACGGAAACAGGTTCCATGCATTTAGGTCTTCTACCAATTTGATTAGATCATTTGAATAGGTTGTCTGGCCTCTCTGCCTAAAAAGCCGGCATGCAAAAGAATTAGAAGGCATACTCGGACAACGTCGATGTCATCCATCCGAGTAAAACCATCTTTCTTATTCAACAATCTTGTCAGGTCTTCTACGTGTAGATTCGGCCTCTCCAGCTCAGGAAAAACCGGATAGCCATGATGGGCGGGTAATGTGTCTAGTGTACCGACCTACATCATCGTGTCCGAAGCGTAGACCGGTGATTAAGCAAAACTCCTCCCGCCCAAAACACGTATACGCCGGTGGAAAATCAAACCATATCTCTTCATCACGACGTTGTATAGTCTCTGGTAGATCGCTAGTCATGGTTTGAAGAAACAGGTGTGTCAACATCGCATCTCCACCGGGATGTTGTACTTTCAGCCATGGCCCGAAGCATGTATCCTCAAACATTTTTCTTTGTGCAGGTGAAAGCTTCGACGCAATTGTTTTGGCCAGGCTGACTTTATTTCTTAAGGTCAATTGAGCCGAATAAAAAGTTTACAAAAACAATAAACATACTAAGTTAGATATACCAAAAACTACACTGGTGAAGATATACCAAAAACAATAATAAACATAAAGAGTAGTAGTTTATTCTTCAAACTTAAATTTGCAACACTGTGAATTTCGTATTTGTCTTTGTTTTTTGGTTGAAGTAATGCAATTTATTCAAGTTTCAATTTGCAGAAGAAGAATAGTTTCTGAAAATGAAAATCGCAACACGAAAATGACTATCGCAACGCGAATTTGACTATCGCAACGCGAATTTGACTATCGCAACGAGAGAATCGTAACGCGAAACTAAAATCGCGTTGCGATTTTCATTGCGCGTTGTGATTCTCGGTTGATTTAATAAGCAATCTAAGTGAAATGGTTAATCTATTATTGAAATTACCAGTAAACTTATTATCAATTTCAATATGAAAAACCTAATAATAATGCAAAAATTTCAAAAAGAAAATAATTAAAAAAAACTAACACTCGTTGGTTGATTTGGTTGATTTTCCATTTCTGATTGTGAGGGTGGCTCTGAGAGATGGAGATAGACGGATTTCGCCGGAGATGGGGACGGATTTCGTCGGAGATGGGTGAGAGAGTGAGAGATGGAGATGGGACTGAGTTGTGATTTTAGGTTTTAGGTTATGAGTTGCGATTACGGGATATACTGTGGACGGTTCAGTGTTCCAATATATTAATATTCGTGTTTGGAATTTAAAAATAAAATACTTGGCCAGGATACTAATGGCGCTTAGAAAATCGCATTGCGATTATGTATTATCGCGTTGTGAAAGTCAGAATCGCGTTGCGAAAGTCAGTATTGCGTTGCGAAAGTCAGTATCTCGTTGCGATTTTGTATTATCGCATTGCGATAGTAAGTATCGCATTGCGATAGTCAGTATCGCATTGCGATTTTCCCAATTCGCGTTGCGATTTACTTATTCGCATTACGAATTGGGAAAATCACAACGACACTGTAGACCATCACAACGCGATTTTCAACTATCGCAACGCGAATTTGCGATAATAGAGATCGCGTTGCGAATTAGTGATCGCATTGCGATTTTGTTGGTCATTTTGGTAAATCCAGAAAAAGTTGGTTAAAATCGTATATTATATGGGATTTTTGGTCACTGAAGTTATTTTCTCAATAAAAATTACAATGTTCATAAGTGCCCATTGTCCAACATAAAAAGAAGCAACTCAAATGAAACCGAAGCATAAAGAGAATAAGAGAGAATGTGGCATGAAAGGAAGAGAAAGCAAAAGAGCTCCATCGGCAGATTTGTTAGTATGTTTCCCATCACGAGCCTATCTAACACTAATGCCACCAAAGTGTCACTGACTTAGCCTAGTTGGTTCGGTTGCTAATCCGTGTGGCACTCGAAAGGGACGCTTCCCAACCAAGTCAGCCTTAATCTCGTAGATCTGATCAAGCATAAACAAACATCGCGTTAGATCTTTATAGCCACATGGTCCTTCGACCAATAATCTGAGCCCGTGGGGCATAGCGGATGCACATCTCAACCCCCGGACTTCTCCGAGAGAAAAATGTTTTATTAATAAAAAGAAATATCGGGTTACAGAAGACTCACCCACACCACCGATTAGGCCGTAGGGGCGGCCCTCGATGGTGTTCACAAGACACGTACCTTTACCTGTGGATCAGCCTCAACTCTGCCGGCTGTCCACCCACTACATATATGCGAAAACAAAATAACAGAAATGCTACCTATAGACGTTGAAATGCTCGAACAGGGGACAGTAAGTCATACCCCTACTCCCTACCTAAAACATTAAAATGCTTGAAAAGAGGACAAGCTTATTCTACCCTGCCACTAGGCCCTATACATGGTTGGCCTTGGCGTACCTACCCGGTTGTGACCCCATAAAAGGGACGATCACGACAATCTCCCCTACCTAATTTGTCGACGTCCTCGTCGACTGCTTGGCCTGAAACTCTTCAATCTGTTGCTTAAATGCCCTGAGATCATACTCTCTTTCCCAAGTGTTCTCTTCCTGATCAAAGCCTCCCCACTTGACTAGATACTCCCGTCTTTGCTTTCCACCCACCTTAACAATTCTCCCTGCTAGAATCTCGTCAACATGACGCTGTGAGGGTGGTTGTGTGCCGATTGACTCCCTGGCAGACATACTCTGATTATCGATATTGGGATCGGTGTGAAACGGCTTCAAATTGCTCACATGGAAGACAGGGTGAACTCTCATCCAAGTAGGAGGGTCAACTTTGTACGAAGCATTCCCCACCTTATGCTCAAAGTTGAAGTCAAACTCGGCCAGAAACTCTTGCCATCTAGCTTGCTTTGCTGTTAGTTTCGGTTGTGTAAGGAAGTGGCTAACTACTGTATTATCGGTCTTTACCACAAATTTGGAACCCAACAAATAATGCCTCCAAATCCTCAAGCAATGAATTACTACGAGAAGTTCTTTCTCTGGAGCCGTATATCTCGCTTCAGTTTCATTTAGCTTCCTACTCTCAAACGCCACGGGATGTTTGTCTTGTAAGAGTACGCCTCCAATTGCATAGTCGGATGCGTCTCTCTTTACTACTATAGGTTTTTCCAGGTCTGGAAAGGTAAGCACTGGTTCACTGATTACAACCTTCTTTAAATCGTCAAAGGCCTCTTGACAGTCCTTGGACCAAACCCACTCGCAGCCTTTCTTCAGCAAATCGGTGAGTAACTTTACTCTACGAGAATAACCTTCTACGAATCGTCTATAATAATTGGCCAAACCAAGGAAAGATCTAAGCTCACTAACATTTTGTGGGGTCGGCCACTCCTGGATAGCCTTCACCTTCTCTTTATCCATACGAATGCGCCCTCGTTCAATGATGTGGCCCAAAAATTGGACTTGCGTTTGGGCGAAAGCACATTTCTCCTTCTTCACAAACAACCGATTTTCCCGTAATCTCGTCAGCACCAACCGAAGATGCTCCAAGTGCTCTTCTATCGAATTGCTAAAAATCATTATATCGTCCAAGTAGATGACTACGAATTTATCGAGATAGTCATGGAACACCTGGTTCATTAAAATGCAGAAAGTAGCGGGAGCATTGGTTAGTCCAAAACGCATAACGAGAAATTCAAATGCTCCATACCGAGTTACACATGTCGTCTTAGGCTCATCCCCTTCGGCCACTCTCACTTGATGGTATCCCGACCTGAGATCCAACTTCGTGAAATACTTAGCATTACTCAGCTGGTCTAACAAATCGACAATCAACGGAATGGGATATTTATTCCTGACAGTCACTTTGTTTAATGCTCTATAATCAACACATAATCTCAAACTCCCATCATGTTTTCTCTGGAATAACACAGGTGCCCCGAAAGGTGACTTCGAGGGTCGAATAAATCCTGCTTGGAGCAACTCATCCAACTGTTTCCTCAACTCTGCCAACTCTGGAGGACTCATCCGATATGGGCATTTCGCAGGAGGTTTTACTCCCGGAATTAATTCAATCTCATGGTCCACCAACCGTCTAGGGGGCAACTCTTTCGTCAATTCACCCGGCATTACATCCTCAAAGTCTCTCAGCACTTCTTTAACATTCCTGGGCACCATGCCAAGATTGTCATCCTCTTTGGAAATTGGAAAGACTAAGAAGGAGGGCTCCCCCTTTTTCACCCCTCTCTTAAATTGGATAGCAGACAATATCTTCTTCCCAGGACGAGGGAGAATCGTAGCTGGTACCACACATGGCTGCTCCCCCATGAACATTAAACAACTTGATGCCGGAACAGGAATCACTTGGGATGCCATCATAAAATCGAGCCCTAACACCACGTCAAAATCATCCATATGGGAAACAGTGAAATCTACACTTCCTTCCCAAGACCCAAGCTTGATACTGACCCTCTTCACACCTCCACATATCATTGAAGTGGCAGAGTTAACTGCTTTCATTTGTCCCACCTCCTTGGTGACAATCAACTTACATCTCTCCGCTTCCTCAGGAGAGATAAACGTATCTGTGGCCCCTGTGTCGACTAGAGCTTTAGAGGTTTTCCCATTTACTGAGATGTCCACATACATCAATCCCCTCTCTGGTTCTTTCCTCAAGTTACTCAACTGAGACTGTAATGCAGTTATGAATCGAATGGAGCCCATTCTAGCCGGCTCAGGCTCGGTATCTCCCATCGGAGCGTTCACTCTTTCTCCGTCCTTTGTTGTTGCAACCATGGCATTAAAAGCACTTCGTTGTGGACACTCTGTAACCCGATGAGGTCCATTGCAAAGAAAACACCTTAACGAGGGTCTATTCCCTCCATTGCTCGATCCAGGACCAGTAGGGACTTTATTTTGAGCTGGGTCCCTTCCAGGGACTCTTCTATTTGCTCCCCAACTCGATGTCTTCTCCCCTCGAGCCAACTTGTTCCCACTAACCTGTTGGGTGTTAGCTCCACTCACAGAAGGCGTCTTGCGCTTTCCAGGATGATCGTTATAATCATTAAGGCACTCGGCAGCAGCTATCGCTATTGTCAAATCTTGAACCTTCTGTCTCTGTAACTCAAGTCTAGCCCATGGCTTGAGCCCTTCAAGAAAATGAAACAACTTATCTCTTTCTGATATATCCTTTATATCCAACATCAAGGTTGAGAACTCTCTCACATACTCCCGTATAGTCCCAGTGTGGGATAATTCCCTTAGCTTCTTATGAGCGTTGTAATCAACATTCTCGGGGAGGAAGGAGGTCTTCAACTCCTTCTTTAACGCATCCCAAGTCGTAATGGAGCACACTCCATCTTTGAACTTGGACCGCCACCATAACTTGGCGTCACCACCTAGATACATCGAAGCCATTGCCACCTTATCTTCCTCAGACTCCGTCCGCATAGCTCGAAAATACTGCTCTATGTCAAATAAGAAATTCTCAAGCTCTTTAGCATCCCTCACTCCATCAAAGCGTTGAGGATCAGGGATCTTGGCTCGTGTGCCCACTCTTTCAATAGGGTTTACGGTCAAACTAGCTACCGCTGCCTGAAGCACACTGACTTGAGCCTTCAGCTCATCATACCCAAGTTGTATCACGCCTATGGCATCTCTTGCCTCATTGCCCAAATCAGTCACTGTCTCAAGCAAATCTTCTTGGGTCTCCTCTACTCTCCTCATCATACGATCACAAGATATCATATGAGCTCTAAGGGCAGCTAGTGCGGCTTCGATCTCTTCTAGCTTCCGTCGATCAACCGAACCAGTCTCTTGCACAACTGGCTCGGTAGCTTCCTGCTCTACACCTCTGTGAGAGCTTGTCGATCCGCCATTTCGTGTGCGAACCATTCTTGGTGCAACCGGCTCAGTAACTTCCTGCTCTACACCTCTGTGAGAGCTTGTTACTCCGCCATTTCGTGTGCGAACCATTCTTTGTAACTCGCTGGCACCTCTATGCCTGCAACACAAATAAGCACAATCGTGCCTAAATTAGGAAGGAAAAGAGCACCGCTGTGCTGAATCCATAGCACCTCTGTGCTAGAATGAACGATTGAGCACCTCTGTGCTTCAATCGAGAGCTGACACCTCTGTGTAGCCAAAAAGTGATTGAGCACCTCTGTGCTTCAATCGAGAACTGACACCTCTGTGCAGTTAAAAAAAAATGACTGAGCACCTCTGTGCTTCAGCCGGGAGCTGACACCTCTGTGTAGCTAAGATGATTGAGCACCTCTGTGCTTCAATCGAGGACTGACACCTCTATGCAGCCAACTATGACTGAGCACCTCTGTGCTTCAATCTAAATTCTGGCACCTCTGTGCATTGGAATGATTGAGCACCTCTGTGCTACAACCTAAAATCAAGCACCTCCGTGCTTTTACAAATGACCGAGCAGCTCCGTGCTGCGGCCTGAGGTGAAGCACCTCTGTGCTAGGTTTAGCACTTGTGCACAGCTGTGCCACAAGCATGTAACAAACACTATCATGCTTTACTCAACAAAATGAGCACCTCCGTGCTTTTAGTAAATGAACACGCACCTCTGTGCTCTGATACCAAGTGTCACGGACTTAGCCTAGTTGGTTCGGTTGCTAATCCGTGTGGCACTCGAAAGGGACGCTTCCCAACCAAGTCAGCCTTAATCTCGTAGATCTGATCAAGCATAAACAAACATCGCGTTAGATCTTTATAGCCACATGGTCCTTCGACCAATAATCCGAGCCCGTGGGGCATAGCGGATGCACATCTCAACCCCCGGACTTCTCCGAGAGAAAAATATTTTATTAATAAAAAGAAATATCAGGTTACAGAAGACTCACCCACACCACCGATTAGGCCGTAGGGGCGGCCCTCGATGGTGTTCACAAGACACGTACCTTTACCTGTGGATCAGCCCAAACTCTGCCGGCTGTCCACCCCCTACATATATGCGAAAACAAAATAACAGAAATGCTACCTATAGATGTTGAAATGCTCGAACAGGGGACAGTAAGTCATACCCCTACTCCCTACCTAAAACATTAAAATGCTTGAAAAGAGGACAAGCTTATTCTACCCTGCCACTAGGCCCTATACATGGTTGGCCTTGGCGTACCTACCCGGTTGTGGCCCCATAAAAGGGACGATCACGACAACCAAAGCACGTTAGTAGTCCTGCAAGGCCATCGGAACCCAACAAGCGCCACCAACACCGTCTCCTTAAGAAATCAAGCACTAGAAATGGACGTGGTGGCCAAGCTAGCCATCTTCTATGGGATAAAAACAAGCATATGGGATCCGAGATCACGGAACCGACCTCCCCCAAAGTCACGTGCGCCGGGCAGATCAAAGTCAGGTCTAAAACAAACTCATGCAAAAGCTGACAATCATCATGGAAGAGATTGAAAGAATTCACAAGAGACCAAGTTGGATGGAGCCACTTGGCTTTAAGAAAGATCATGCAGTTCTTAACATGCCTGCAGTCCATTCGTTTCGATTTTCGGTGTTTTGGGTCTTTTCCACAATCCGATATCACTACCGACGATGAAGACGAAGAGGAAGAAGAAAACCAAGAAATCAACAACAACGAAGAAGGAAATGAGACATCAAGAACCATCTTTTCGAAATGGTTCATGGTCCTACAGGAGAATCAAAGCAACGGGTTTTATAAAGAAGAATATAAGAAAAAGACATCTCCATTCAACACATTGATGATCAACCTGCAGATCCATCAGCAAATGCTCTCTTGCTTATGCGTTGTCGGTCGGCTCCTGCTCAGAGCTGGTTAGACGCTAACAAGGTGGAAGAAGGAGAAAATCACAAGAACGCAAGCGGAAGATGAGGAGAAAAGAAAGAATTGAGGTGTTTGATGGACGAAGAGAAGAAAAGATGAAAGAGAGCTTAGTGGTATTGAAAAACGCCCTGATTTTCATAAATTTCATCTGATATAGCCCAAAAGACATGGTTGTTGGTGGGACGAAAGATCCATTATCCCGTAGTCGAAGTTGGAAGAGATGATTATACTCTCCTTGGTGACTACTCTGTTTTCATAAGTACTTTGTTTGTGCTTTATATTGAACCAATTCCCCCCTCTTCAACTGAGTTCTCTTCTAAGAACTGCGAATTCTATAATCACCAGCTTACAGTTTACCTTTGGAATTTTGATATGTTTCATTGTTATGTATGATTTGAGAGTTGTATGGCCGCGTAAACTGTAAAGCTTTCCTTCTCTTTCAAAAGGAAAAGATTTGTGCTTATATCTATCATTATAGGAAAATGACTTGTAATTAATGAAAATATTATTGTTATTGTTAGTGCTGGAAATAATCTTAGTCGAGCTCGAGTATTGCCGAGCTTGACTCGATTCAAAAACTTTAAAATTGAGTTCGATTCAAAAACTCCCGAACTTAATTTTTTTTTAAAAAAAAATCAACATATAAATGTTAATATTATTAATAATTTATTTTTTTTTAAAAAATAATCTCTTATATTTATTTTTGAGCTGCTCACGAGCTTTTCGAGTCGAGTATCAAGTAGATCGTTTCGACTTGTTAAGAACTCAAGTCGAGTATTTATTTAGTTTTGACCGAGTCAATCTTAAATAAGTCACTATTTGTCTCGTCTCATTTATTGCCCTAATTATTGTTGACTTAGATTACAATTTGACAGGCGCTCTTTGTTAATTTGGTTACTCGATAAACTAATAAACGGGGTGAAGAACTGAGAGCAGTTATCAACTACTATTTGAATTGAAAATTTGTATTTGTACATTATCAAGATTAGAATCCCAAGTGTCTAGTAAACTATGATCTCCTCTCCATTAAACCGAGCTGACTCGACTTCAACAACGTACCTATGCTTGGATATATAGCAGTTTTACCAATTTACGGTAACCCCTCTCACTATATTCGATTGTGCCACACATATAACAAACTAGCGGTACTCGTTCTTTATCATGTAAATAAATTAAACCATGAATTATATATTGCATAACACAAGTCTGATATTTGAATGAGAGATGGGAAAAATAGGGGAAGAGTGGGTCCAATTAAACTCGAATTCTTAGCAATATTCAGAATTTCAGATTCATTGTTTCTTCAAAATCTAATAAGTAATATTGATAATACACCAAAATACAAACACTCCGCCGTCCCATCGCCGGCCTCCATCTGGCACCAATGCCAACGGTTTAACACTCATTGATTTAATTACAGTTAATACAAAGCAATTCCATATATACAAAAAAATAATTTATCCCATGTTTTAGTCATATTATTAGCTTCGGATACAAAAATAGTATCGGATTATAGATAAGTGACGTCTATGATCCTAAAAGATTATGTCAATTGCGTAAGGCCACCAATCTAATCTCGAAGATCATTTAACGACAATGTTAGCCACTTTTCTAAAGGTCCAGCCCACCTATATCTCATTAGCAACCAAAATTAGAAAAAGAAGCGAAGCTTTTAGACCAGTAAAAAGCTTCTCTTTGGAATTTGAGTCAAGAGGGGAGCAAACAGTTGCTAATGCTCGAGGGCGGGATGGAAATGGTAAAAGATTCTCTGATATTATAGAATTATGATGGCTTAGATTTTGTTTCTGAATTCTAACTTGGTCAATGGCTGCGTTTTGGTAGATAATTGCTGATATGCAGTTATAATAGTATTCTACCGTGTCAAATTCATAAACTTTTTTTTATATATAAATTCATCAAGCATTAGATATCATATTTTTATTAATTCATAACATATTCAAATGATTTTTGAATATATAAATTTGTAATCGATAATAGACAATTCAAAATATAGTATATACATATCTTACGAACTTAAATCATTCGAAAACATTTCATCTAGTGCAACTAAGGACTAAATTCAAGTTCCCTCCGGTAATAAGTGTAAATATGATATGTTACAGGATCTCAAAATTTAGGGGCCTCAATTACGAATAACATTTAAGTCCGTCCATGTATAATATTTATGCTCTAACGATATTTACGTTCAAAGAAAAAATAAATTTTTTATTTGATTCTTGAGAAAATGACAAAGAAAATAGTAAACGAAAATTTTGACAATATTTTAAAATATTTTCTTGCTGAATTTTGGTAAACAAAACCTTGTAGATCTCTCAATTTCATATATGATAATTTAATTTTTATTATAAAATATTTTAAAGACATCATTTTTGGAAGTGGTACAAAAACTCCCCGTCATAAAATGACGGACCTCAACTCAAACCCTAAACATACAATCTATCACAATTTCACATAGAAATACATCAGCCTCAACTTCAAACTACAAGACTATAAATTAAATCTCTAATCTCCAATTAACTAATTTTTTTCTTTACAAGAATTTTCTTCCCACTCTCTTGTCTTTAACACATTCAAAGAAATTTCGTCCGTAAAATTATTCTTTATTACGATAGCTACATTATTCTTCAAAATTATCTCACCATTTAATTTTATCTTGTTTGACGTTCATAACATATTAAGCCAATTTAACTCCCTATATTTCCCATCTACTATTGGGTTTGTTTTATTGCTAATGATAGTATTAAATTACAATTTTGATATTTTTTCTATTCTCCTGTTTTAAGGTTTTGTATATTATTATATTATTACGATTTTGGATATATATAATATGTAACATTTATATAGGCATGAATTATTTCTTAAATTTTCAATAATTTTAAATTATAAATATAATTTAAACACAATAATTTCAGAAACCTTATAATACGACTGTTATGTTACTATTATGTCTGCATTTTAATTCTATATTGCAAACTACAACTTTATGCTGCAATAGCTACTCCACACCGCACCCTAATTTACAGAGATCTTAGTGTAAACATCTGTTTGACGAGAGACATCGCCCCAACTTCTCCTATAGGGATTTGGGGGGAAACCTTAAATTTTCTCTCTTTTTCCTACTCGAGAAAACCCTAGGGCAGGGAGCAAGGAACAAGAAGAAGTAGAAGAAGATAAAACCTTCTCACTTTGCTTGCCTTGTTTCTGCAAAGCTGTAACATTATTTCTCTCTCTTCTTTTTATAGAAAGTTTTCTTCCCCTCACTGAAAGACGAGGGAAGATGATTGATGTCAGGGAAGCTTTTAAGAATGCACATGGGAAATTTCCCAAAGTTGTTTTTCGAAGGATGTATTTTCTTTTCGTTCATTTCTTGCCTACTTTTCCAGTGTCTTTATAATATCTATTTTCGAGCTAAGACCATATCTTTGTTCCTGTTCTCAACTGCATGTGAAACTATCGCCATCTGTATAGTATATAGATCCCTTTGCCTGTTTTCAGATAATCAAATCTTTCGCCATGGATTCTTCAAGCGAAGATGAACAAGAGTACGTGTCACGGACTGAGTCAGTCCCAACTGTTTTGAACTCTATCCCCATATAAAATTCACTCCAAAACCACCCACCAACTTTCTTTGATCTTTCTGCAAATGTTCTCAACCCTTTCTCTCAATCTGAACCAAATCGCACTGCAGTCGACTTTGGTAACCTTCAAAACTCATCTTCATCAAAAGGACTCGTCGATCAAGGCTTGTATCCAAGCTCGTCGATACCAAAGCCATCTCATGATAATGGTCCAAGGCCATTAACAAAATCTGGTAAGAAAAGTGGTGTCAAAAACCCCAAGAAACGAACAAGAGCATCGAGGACGGCACCCACTACAGTTCTCACTACCGACACAATGAATTTTAGAGCAATGGTGCAAGAATTCATCGGAATCTCCGCCCACCCTTTTCAGGTTCATCCTATTCTCGAAGGCTCGATCTATTCGGCTCAGGGTCAGGTATGCGGTCCAGTCATTTGGAAACTTTAGGCCCCTCGTCTAAAAGGTTAAGCCTACACTCCTATTGCATCCTCTTTTTCTCCTTCATTGTTAACTCGTCCTATAGTTGATGCTAATATTTCCGATACAACTAGTAATAACACCTTTTCGGCGTCTAGTAACTATGTTCAACAGCATCAGAATATGTTAAACTTGCAGAATTTCCAGTCCTCCATATATCCTCCACCTCTTCACCCTTGTTTTAATTTGCCTGGACTTGCTGTGAGTTACCATGTAAGTTCAGCCATGTCTTCCCTTGATGATTTGGCCTTGACTCATGCTAATGCAACAGCCGTCAGTGAACAACGGAAATCAAGATCATTTGAGGCCTTTATACTGGAATTATGATAGTAGTGATCAAAATTCACAAAGGCTTTAATAGCTGCGAGTTGAACTACTCGGCTTCGTCATCAGTTTTCAGCATGATAACGAATTGGAGAACTTTTCTTCTAGAGCTAAAGGTAGAGTTGTTTCATGGACTTCTCCTGCAGAGTAGAATGATTTCTTCTCCATTTTAGAAATATATTATAAATTTAAATATATATGTACAATTAATTCTACCCTTTTTGCGTATATAAACTTAAAATTAATGTTAACTAAAGATTATTGTTTAAGGAGTTTAATATTGCTTAAGAAGATTTTGAGTTCAAGTCATTGTATATATAAAAAAATTCTTGTTAAGAGATTCACTCACCAAAATTAGGTGTGCGACGTGCAGGGACGAAATCAGAATTTTAGTTAAGGGGTAAAGTATAATTACCAATAGA